ATATATATATATATATATATATACATCGATTGATAAATGACTCGGTTAATCATTTATACCAAAGCAAGATCAAATATGGTGTGTAGCCCAGGCCTATAGCAAAGAACTATAGAAATAATTATAATAATTTCAAACATAATATATTATTATCTATATATAATAATATATAAAGCTTCTTGACGATAATACTGTACACATATACTAAATACCGTCAACAACACTTGTTGACGGTTATTAGTATGACTCATATTTTTCTCGTAGGCCAGATTCAGTTGCTCCGCAAGCCAAATGTGGCCTGCTAAAAGCGCCTATTAAAAAAAACCGTTTCGGAATATAGGATGATAATAAACCTCATGCTCTAAATACATGAGACTGAAGTGATCATGGATTATTTAGTAAAAGGAAGTTGGGATTAAAGAGCAAAACATTTAAGAACAGTTTCATGGGCCTGATTCCAACTTGCAGGTCAGTACCTATGGTTTTTATTGGAAAGGTTGCGGGGTGTGCAAAATTTGGGTTTTGTACGCACACATCGCAACCTCCCTAATTGTTGCATGTTAAGTGTTGGACTGTTCTTAATCCTAGTGTGTTCATGGATTTCGAATAACTTTTGGGTAAGCCTATTGTTATTGCACAATGGGACACTTTCCAGTACAAAATGTTTGAAGGTTTCACTACTTGTTGTTCTGTAATAATGCTAGATAACATGCTGACGTATATTATTTCATCAATTTCATTTTCTCCCGCTTACATGCCATTTTAGGGGAGAAAGTTAGGGCCACTGCCGACACCACCACCACGAGGCAGCTAATATTCTGCTTGTACCAATTACAGTATTTCGTTAAACGGTATGCTTATCTTCCATTAAGAATCATTACAAATATTAAGCTTACTAAATTAATATTTTCTTTTGGACCCTACTGTTATTTTGTTCTGTATTGTTTACATAACATCTCAGAATTAAGCCTCAGCCTATTATTGTTAATCTTTTTATAACGTTGGCCTAACAAGGTAATATTACTAATAAGATGATTTTGTCTTGATGTTATAATTTATTCAAATTCCTTTTAGAAAAACACATCGAATTTTCTGTTAAACCTCAATCATGTATTTTATTAAAAGGCTGCAATAAAATGTATTGGTGTTATTTATCTTGAAGGTTACAATGCCCCAAGAATCGATAAGTCTTCCTGCGATTGCGCAGATACCACCTACACTCGATGGACAGGCGTTCCTCGCAGCCTCTCATTTTAAGATCGGCTATGACAGACGCCTTTCCAGAAGTGCTACAAAACGTAGCACTTTTTCAAAAGATTATAGCTTTCACAGCCACTATGGCCGATCACCAGCCGCCGTTCCTCCAGTACCAGCTGAGGTCATGCATCGGGCTGAAGAAGTTGGAATAAGTGACGTCACAGAGACTCTTCACTCCTTCGGGTCGAAACCATATTCAAAACTTCCACCATGTGCATCTCTTACTAAGACGAATTTTAAAATGAACGCCGATAAAAGTATAGACTCTTTTAAAACGACGCATTCCAAGATGTATCCACCAAAGCCGTTAAGCCAAAGTTTACCAATGTCTTTTCCGATGAAGAGTTACGTTCCTCAAGGAGATCGAGAAAAGGCATCTATTCCCGTGTCAGACTATAAATCGAGGTTTACTGGTCACGATACCGCCATATTCACTGTTGAACGAGCTCCTTGTATGCATAATGGTTAGTCATTTTTTTCTGTAAACTATACAAGAAACAACACTGGTCATATCTAGACAGTGGCAGATTCAAGGGGGCCCAGTTACCTATTTTTATTCCCCCACAAACAATCACAGGTTTTAACCTAGGCCTATGATAGTTAAATGCTAACAGGTATTGGAAGATTCTATCTTATATATATACGTGACTCAGGACTCACATTTTTTTTGGTCTATACATTGAGGTAATAAATAGTAATAGTATTTTAGTCTAAATTTAAGGCTAAAATAATGTGGGCTGTGAATATTTTCTTAAATATTCAACTTATTTAATTTTTATATAGGTGGTCAGTCAACTATACGGGGTGATGATAGAACGCATGATAAATTTTTGACATCAACAAGCGAACAATTTCCTGCCAGGTACATCGCTTACAGTAGAGTTAAACCAGACGTAAGTAAAATGGTCATAATTATGATTAAGCTATAAAAGGGTTACCACTTCATACCTACAAACAAAACAAACCGACCTTAAAGTACATGTTCGAAATATTAATATAAGTGACGACGCGTGTTTAGTTAGTAGACCTATTCCAACCCGCCAATCAAGGATAAAAGTTGTATTTGTTTATTTCTCAACAGCTAGACATAGAATAAGATGAAGGTGGATTCGAGCATTGCTTATGTCATTATGTGAACTAGATAGCCTGTTTTAGTTTTAATGTTATCTATAACTTCTGCGATAAAAAATAATCAGTCAATCAATTATGTATTAATTAATCAACCAGCTAATCATTAATGAATCAATCACGCCATCAATTAATTAATTATGTTACCCAGTCAATCAGTAGTCAACCAACCAACCAACCAACTACTATCAATTTATCATCAAACCAATTTGGTCAAAATAAGTATTGCCAATTCCAAACCGACAATTGGTTTTTGTATATGGATTTTTTAAAGAAAATGTTTTTAAACTGGCACCCAACATTATTGTATGCTTTTAAGAGACTGATATCTTTACTATCTTTAAAATAATTAAAATAAATAGGCCTACTTTAATATATCACCAGCCAAAACATGGGATGCATGAATTAACCTACTAGATAGTTACAACTTCCAACAATTCAAATGTTACTTTCGTCAAAATTAACTGTTTTATGTTGACAATTAGACCTCAAAACACACAAAAAAACCCTTTACTTCATTTGTTGTATTGCTGTGTATAATGTGTCGCGTATTAATTAATGTTATTTAGACAATTGGATCCAACATTCCACAAGGTGACATAAATAAAATCCCTGAACGTTGCACAACACAAGAAGTTTCATATCCTAAACATGACAGTGCCAATTACAAGTCGTACGAAAGAGAACAAGCTATTGGACAGATTGGTGACACTAACTTCAAAATGGGGCATATTCGAACATACGACAGATTCGACACAACTGCAGGGGAAGCATTTTGCCCAATGGGAAACCCAGGTAAGCCTAAACACTTAAAGCCTCAGTTTTACTCTATAATAAAC